GTCACGTCTTCTAACCCTCCCCACCTCCAGGCACCGTCACTGCTGAGCAATTCGACAAGCATTCGCACCTTCGCATTTGTGGCTTGGTCGGCTCGATTGATAATGATATGTCGTTGACCGACCTTACTATTGGCGCCCCAACCGCTTTGCAACGCATTTGTGAGGCCATCGACAACATTAACTCGACCGCGTATAGTCACTCTCGTGCATTCGTTGTTGAGGTTATGGGCCGGGATTGCGGTTGGCTTGCTGTTTTGGCTGGTGTTGCGTAAGTGCATTGCCTTCCTCTTTATAATTATGATTCAATTCTCGATAGTGGTGGCGCCGATTTCATTTTCATTCCTGAACGACCTCCCAAGGTCAACCCATGGGAGGATGAGATGTGTTTAGAAATTCAAAAAGTCAGCATTGATTTTCTGAATAGTTTTCTTTGTTCGATTGACCATGTATTTATTAGCACCGTGCCATCGGCAAACGCAAGACCATCGTCATCGTTGCAGAAGGTGCCCATGATTTGGATTTGAAGCCTATTCATGCAGAATATATCAAGGACGTCCTGACCGAGCGCTTGGGTCTTGACACGCGAGTAACAACTCTCGGTCATACTCAACGAGGTGGCGCTCCCTGCGCCATGGACCGCATTTTGGTAGGCTAAGTCGTCATTTTCCGATGGCCCTGCTGACGGTTCCCTAGCCAACGCTTCAAGGTGTCGAGGCCGTCAACGCTATCCTTGAAGCGGCTCCTGGAACGCCTTCATACATGATTGGGATACAAGAAAACAAGATCACCCGTGTTCCATTAATGGAAGCTGTCGAAAAGGTTCGTGTTTAAGCATATATCGCTGGGACGTCATCTTGACAGGTGCTAGACAAGAGATGTTGCCCGTGCCGTGAAGGCAAAAGATTTCGACTGTGCCCTTGCTGCTCGTGGGACCGAGTTTGTTGAGTACTTTGAGGCTTTCACGTCGGTTGCCTCTCTTTTCAATGAAAGTACTCAGCTCCCCCCTGAGTTGGTGAGTCGCTCAATTTGATTACAGTTGCTACATGTTTAACTCATCTTTCAGAGGATGCGCGTTGGAATTATACAGTAAGCAAAAAGTAGGGTGCGTGGGGTTTGGCAGACACTTACTCAATTTCAGCATGGGCGCCCCTGCTGGTGGTATGAATGCCGCCACGCGTACCCTCGCTCGTTATTGCATTCGCCAGGGACATACTCCTTTGGCTATTCACAACGGCTTCCGTGGACTATTGGATGACAATGTTGATGAGCTCTCCTGGTTGGGTGTTGACGCCTGGAGCGCTCGGGGAGGGTCCGAGCTTGGTACTAACCGCTCTTTACCGTCTACGGACCTCGGTGGAGTGGCGTCTCAATTCCAGAAATACGCATTCGACGCTATCGTGATCATCGGTGGTTTCGAAGGTTTCCATTCTTTGCTTCTGCTAGAGGAAGGCCGAAAGCATTACCCTGCGTTCCATATCCCCATGGTCCATCTTCCTGCAACAATTTCCAACAACGTTCCCCTGACCGAGTATAGTCTTGGAAGCGACACGAGTTTGAATGCATTAGTAAGTGCTTGTGATTCCATAAAGCAGAGCGCTAGTGCAAGTCGCGATCGTGTATTCGTGATCGAAACGCAAGGAGGAAAATGCGGGTATATTGCAACCATGGGCGCCTTGGCTGTAAGCTCGGATTCTTTACCTGCTGCTAATAATTGACATTTAAATGCAGACTGGTGCGATGCTTGTGTATACTCCCGAAGAAGGAATTACCCTGGATATGCTTCGACGAGACGTACGGTTCTTGAAAACCCGTTATGCGTTTGACATCAAAGGAAAGCGCGAAGGTCGTATCATCATTAGGTAGGTTCGCCCACATAACTTGTCGTGATTGGTCAACTGACCTTCCTAAGGGGCGAGGCATCATCGAACATATACAGCACGTCGGTCCTTACCAAGATGTTCCAAGAAGAGGGCGGCAATCTCTTTGACGCGCGCTCAGCGTCTTTGGGCCATACCCTACAGGGAGGTGTGCCTTCGCCTCTTGATCGTGCGCGTGCTGTGCGTCTGTCGCTGAAGTGTATGGTATTCTTGGAACAACACCATCAAGATTTCCTCAAGCAGGGTCCCAAACGAACTGCCAGTCCTGAGACTGCTGCTGTCATTACAGTTCAGGCCAGTTCATTGAAGTGGGTGCCTGTGCAACAGATGCATCTGCACGCGGATATGCAGAACCGGAGAGGCAAAGAAGCGTGGTGGTCCGACATTAAGGACTTGGTGGAATCTCTCGTAGCCAAGCCACAATTCCTTGGTATCCCTAAAAATGAGTTGCATACTAATAATCTGAGGATCTAGACAAACGAATAGAATATGTATTTGGTAGATGTAGAGGGTGGTGTTACATGCCTTACCCCAACTGTAATGTGACTGTTGGTTTGTGTGACCCAGTTCGCACTGATGATTCCAACTTGTATTTTTGAATTAGACGAAAAGATCTCTTGAGCGCAAAAAGGTTTGCGGGATTGATCGCGGGGCATTTAGAGAAAATATCTTGTTCATAATTGGGCACGCCCGGAGCTGCTGCCCAAACCTTTACAGATGTTAAGCGAGCGCGATAACCGGTGTGGCAGTATATTTGACTCTTTGAGACTGGACCCGTGTCCGGATCAAGTAGGTCAAATCCGAGCCGTTTTATTTGCAGACTGTAAGAAGTACAACCACGAAGCGAAAGGCGTCAAAGATGCAGATGAGCAGTGGTGGGTTAAGTCTCTCACAGTGGGATGCGTGATTGGCTTGTTTAATGCAGGGCGTGGGAATGTTCGGGGTGTGTTTTGCAAGGTGGCAGGACAACAATCCCCAACAAACTTACCTCGCGGTTACGACCCTCGTCCTCATCGCCCATCACGCCGTGCGCGCTACCTACTACAATGACCAGACCACAGCTTCCCGTCAAGTATGCGAATCCCAAGATTAAACGCATCGGTCTGTTCTTCAATGGTTGTTTCATTTTGCAGTAGTTCATGCTATCCACAGTCGAGTTGAACTCACCTCCGCAAGTCAAGTATCAGATGCTCAGCTGCCAGGGGAGGGAAATCCTTGTGCGTTTGTATGTATATCCGGACCAGCTGGTTCGCTAAATATTCCGTTCTTCATTAACTTACAGGTCGGTCGGCTGAAGGTCGAAACTCCAACTGTATGCCAATCATCTTGCGGTCTCATTCTCGCTCATTGAGTCTCATCTTGTCAGGAAAATGGCCACGCGTTTATCCTTCGACGTTTCGACACCGGCGCAGTCAGTTTGACCACCATGTTCCGTGCTGCGTTCCCACTTGCGAGCGATATGGAGGAAAGAGCAGAGCTGCAATGGGTCAAAGATAACCATGATCTATCCGGTAACAATGGTTCAAACAAGGAGAGTCATATCACTCGTCTTGCTGGAACCTGGGTGAGCCCTACTCTGGCGGTTGAGTTAGGGGATCAGTATGCTCTGGCACCGCTGATCAAGATCGTCGTCGACGCTCAACCAGATCCAAACGCAAACTACAAGAGATCAGCCAAAGCTGCTGCTGCTGCCTCCGCCTCCGCGGCAGATGTAAGCCAAGTTGCTGCTCATAGTACTACTATTTCCCAGCAGGCGTCGACTACTTCGATAACGGCTAACGGGGGTAGTATGTACACGGCAGCTCCCACACCTCGAGGTTCCTCTATTGCGTCTAGTCGTGCAACTGTCGGATCATTGCCCACTCCTTCGCCAACCTCTCTCCAACCTAACCCTCCCAAACGACGAAAGGAGAGCTCACCAGCTCCTCAAGCTGCCGAGTCCACTTCTCCCATTAACACTAAAACCCCCCTACGACGATCCAATCGCCCAAAGAGTCCGGGGTCGAAACCTGTGTCTGCCAGCACACCGGCACGACCATCTAAAAAACGAGTTGAACAGTTGACCCCAGCATCCGATAAGAGTATGGTAGATGAGGATGGGGACAAAGTACAGGCCGTGGCAGCGAAGGAGCTACATGACCAGGATATCCATGAACAGAAGATCTTGATTGAGACTCTGAAAGCCCAGCGAGACGCGGCTGAGAAGGAGAAAGCGGAGAGGCCTCAGGAGGCGCAAGAGGAGGATAATGAAGAAATAGAGGAGCAAGAGGAGGAAGATGAACCTTCAGTGTCGAAAAAGAGGACGAGAGAGGAAGGAGAACCCGAATACCAGTTCGAGTTCAGAGAGCCAGAAGTAGGCGACCGTGAAATTGCGACAAATCGCCGAATTGGGTTCCCGCGGGAACCTCGGGCGCGATCTTTTGCTTGGGGTATTGCTGCATTCGCAGTGGGTATGGGGGCAATGTAAGTCGTCCTTACTTGCGGCGGGATTGGTCCTGACCATGATTTTCAGATCGTTCCTCCCCAATCTTTTGTGACATGAATGTGTTTGACTCGGTTTATTTCACTCTCCTGTCCGGTTGCTTTTCACTCGTGGTATGAATGTATTCATTTGTTTTTGCCACATTAATCGTATTAGGGGAACGAGGTCTTCCCTCATACGACCATTTTTTCATTCCCTCTCGACAAGACACCCCTATTCGCTTTGCTTATCACCAAGCACCATATTGGCTGTCTTGCTTCCTCATCTATTATATCTCTCTTCTATTATTCTTATCAACCTGCTGTCAGTGTACCAGTGGCTGAAATTTTCTGGGGTTGGCTGTTTTTCTAGATGGCACCTTTTTTTTTCTTTTTTTTTTTTCACCATATCTTTGTTTTGTAAAAATCCGATTCCTCTTCCCCCGCTGTATATAACCCTTCCGTCTTGTTATTTATGAATCTTATGACAAGAATAACGAAAATATAATGACAACTTCGTTTGTGGTGTATGACAAAGTTCTGCTTAGTGTTGGGTGACGACGTTGCAGTTACTTCCGATGGTGAGCATTTTTGAGGTGGGATCAAACGTATCTCGGTCCAGAAATGAGCATAAGTACGATGTAGCTTTTCACATATCAACAACCGACCTTAGCTCAGTTGGAAGAGCGTCAGACTGTAATTGGAAGCCTTCGAGTGACATCTGAATGTCGCCTGTTCGAGCCAGGCAGGTCGGATTCTGTTTTTGCTGCCATTATTGATACCGGCGTCTTGATATGCCATGCCAGGAGGTTTGTTTTGTTCACGTTTCTCTCTTTTTGTTTCCATATTGTACGGTCCCACGGGTGAGCCATATTCAAACCATATTCAAAGCAAGTTGCGGCCAACTTATGTTACATAAGTAGCTTTCCGCCGTTGACCAGAGACGAGGTCAATAACCTCTATGGATACTTCAATGATTTCAGACTTCCAAGTGATTTAATAACTCGGATGCCTACGCACCCCAGACCAAAGACAATAAGGTCAAGGGGGGTATGTGCTTAATTTAGGATTCCAGTATTGTTTCTACAGCTATACTATACTCTTTGTAAATGTGCCCGAGGTAACAGCTGCTGGTCAACTTGCTTTGTGCATTGTGGGTCGGGATTTCTGAGGCACCAGAACTCCGGATGTTTAATCAGGATAAAAGTAAGATTGATTGATTCCATATCCAAATGATATTCCCGAAACGGAGAGTGAAGATTAGGGAAAGGATAGACTAACCAGACAAGTCCAAGAGGTCGTCAAAAGTGGACGTACATATCAACGAAATTAAAAAGAGGAAGTACGTCAATCCACAAATAGCTTGGATATCCGTCGTGACCGTAATAATCGTAAAGATGAAAAAATGATAAATGTAACATCATAAACGAGATAAAAAATCATAGGTAGAAGAACGCGCATCATCCATTTCACATGATGACGCACCATCTCTTTTTTTCTGAGCTGTATTCACGATCGGGAGTGATTGGTTCCACAACAGGAGACACAAGTACATCCTCAACTGTCGGCCCTTGCTTCGTACCCGTGAACACACCTTGTGCTACATCGAGGGACGTGCGTTCATCGGGGATTTTGGATGTGTTAGAGAACCATCCACCAGGGAAGAGACGGGATGAGGTGGTTGACTCAAGGCGCCTACGGGTTGATACTGGAGACGATTCAGGCGAGAGGGCGGAGGTTGTATCCAAAGCACTGTTCTCATCGAGGGGAGGGAGAGGGGTAGCGTTCGATCTGTGATGAGGAAATCAATAATTCAGAAAATGTCGGCGGTGCATGAACGGGAACTCACTTGGCATTGTCATCGGGTATTTCTACTGAGGGGAAAGCCTTTTCTTGGCGGGACCCAGACCCATTGTCACCGTTCGCAACAGGCGCATCTTTCGATCGTCCTAGTATCGCAGAAGCTGCAAGAACACCTCCAGCCACGCCGGCACCGATCAGGGCTGTTGCCGAAAACGCAGCTGAGTCTTCCATTTCCTCAGAAAGGGAGCGCCTTGGCTACGAATAGTAGATGTCAGTCAAAGTCAGCAACAGGCAACCAACAACTCACCTGCGGCCCGGGTCCTTTGACTTCTGCCGGTTGGTCATGTAGAGCGAACGACTCAAGCTGTGTGTCTTCAAGGATATCGGTTCCTTGGCGAGTGACAGAATAACTGGGTGTCCAGTGAGTTGGTGGCTGGTCCTCGACGGCTTGCGGTTCTTTCGCTTCTTCCGGTTGGAGATCATTCACGACAACGGTGGGCGGCACAGGCAAGGCATCTTGCACGTCTTGGTCTTCCATTGTGAGGGTAGCGTCTGAAGCGAGATTGAAGTCGGATACTTCGGTAGCAATGGATGGTAATGAAGCGGGCTGGGGCAGTGGGCTACCTTGCCTGCTGACCGAGTATGATGGAACCCAGGATGGTGAAGCTGACCGGTTCTGCTCTGAGGGAGGTGTCAGGGAAGAAACATCAACATCTTCAAAGGACTGCGGAAGTTGTTAACCAAAAGATGATTAAGACACTCGATACACCTACCTTCTCAAACAATTGGCTTTCAACAGGTTGAGGCTCGGACGGCACCGGTTCCTCCTGTACCCGTTCTTCAGTCTGCTGTTCGGCCTGTGTCTCTGGTTCCACAATAGGAACTACAATGGCGGCTTCAATGGTCTCATGTTCGAAGGAAGGTGTAGGGGCTTCAGCGACCTCGGGTACTTCGGGTATAATGCTCGGTTCCTCGACTGCTGTGGGCTCGGCTTCCACGCTCTTGGCATCCGTCACATGCTCGACGTCCTCCTCAATAAGAGGGGCAACGTTTTCGGGGGCCGTCATGTCATCAGTAGCTGGAGTTACCACAGTTCCTTCCTGCTCCTGATCAATGTTGGCGGTGGAAACGTCAGGTTCAAGAGAAACCTGCGTAGGACTTGGACTGCCTTGTAAGTGAACGGAATATGAGGGAGTCCAAGACGAGGCAGATTCTGGGGCGCCAGCCTGGTAGACAAATAAGTAACAGAACCGAGAATTAATCAATAATCTTCACCTCTTCAGAAGACGGCTGGACCTCGCCTACACCACTTTCTGTCGACTGATCTTCAATTACGATTGAAGGTTGAGGTACAGGGGCATCCTTCGTTTCTTCGGCACCATCAAGATATTCAATAGGAATATCGTTGTCGGCAGGGAGAGGGGCGCCATGGCCAATAGTTGTAACTTGGAAAGAAGGAGTCCAAGGAGATTTTGGTCTCTCAATACGGGATGCGTCCTCGGGAATTTCAAGAGCAGGTCGTGTTGGGGCAGTTATCTCTTCAGCGGCTTCCGTCTCGGCGGCGGGGGTCACATCAACGACGATGTCTTCCTCAATGAAAGAGGCACTGATATCTTTCTTCTCCAAGATGGGTTCGGGCACCATGATCGTCTCGGTCGTGGTGTCGACTTCCGACGTTTCGCTGTCGACGAACGACTCATCGGTAACCTTGACATCGGCCTCTGACTCTTCGGCAGCAGAAACATCGATGTGGGTCTCAACCACAGCAGAGTGTTGTTCCACGGGAATAGCCTCCGCGACTTGTTCAGCAACAGCTTCGGCAACCGGGGCTTCCTCAATTTGGACATCTAGAGGAACAACCGGTTCCTTTTCAACGACCGCACCCTCTCGGGTAGCAGGTACATCAGCTATAACGGGCTCGACGGCAGAATCTGCAGTTGTGACATCAGGGACTACTTCCTCAGGAATAGGTTCAGTGAAGAGTACACCCTCGGTTGCAGGCTCCTCGACAATTGGCACTTCAGCTTCAAGAACTTCAGCAGTGTGCTGTTCCTCGGTGGCAGCGTCGACAACTGGTTCGACAGTGTGTTCTGCAATGGCGGGTGCTTCTTCGGCCACCTCTTCAATCGCTGGATCCTCGACCCCATCAGCAACAGGGCTCTCCTCAACAGTAGCAGAAATTTCGATCGCGGGTTCGCTGGCCACCTTGGTCTCCTCCTCAACAGGCTCCTCGATGACCTCTGGCCGTGAGATGGCAGGAATCTCAACGGTGGGCTCCGAAACGGGAACAGTTCCAATAGTAGGTTCCTCCATCTCCTCAGCTACCTCCTCTTTGACAGTCTCTTCATCCTCTGCGACAGTAGGCTCGACTGGAAGTGCTCCAGGAGCAGGTTCCTCGGTAATGGGTGCCTCCTCAACTGCAGGAGGACCAGTAACATCCTCGGATGGCTCCTCGACCCCAGCTTCAGCGGGAACGAGTTCAACGGGAGTTTCAGCAGGGATGATAGCTTCCGCTTCGGCAGCAGGCTCATTATCTAAGGTATCTTCGGCTGGCTTCTGTTCAGCGACCTCGCCTTCAACGACCTCTTCGGTGGCAGGAATTTCTGCAACAGCTATGTCCTCGACTACGGACATCCCCTCGATAACAACTTCGGTAGTTTCGACCTGGTCGATGGCCATGGTTTCTTCCTTTGTGGGCTCTTCATCTAGAGGTTCCGTCACCCCGGCATCCTTGATCACCGTAGCATTCTCCTCGGAGGAAAGGGGTATGTCCACATCTGCGGGCTCGGCAGCAACAGGCTGTTCCATAGCGACGGCCTTGTCCTCCGCAGCATTATCCTCGGGGCTCTCCACCTCACGGACCTGCTCTGCCAATAGCTGCTCTTCGGCAGCTTGGGCACCCTCCTCTACGGCCTTCTCGTCAATAGCAGCCTGTTCTTGAGGCACGGCTGCTTCTTCCTCCAGTATACCTGCAGCCTCTTCGATAGATTTGTCATCGTTGATAGGTGTCTCCTCAATAGACTCAGATTGAGCTTGAGGGGCGACAGAAGCAGCTTCGTCTTGCGCAACAACTGGCTTGGCGAGTTCTTCACCATTGAGTGATTCCTTCACTAGAGGAACTTCGGCTTCGACATCATCAGCAGCAGAAATATCGGTAGGTTCTTCTGCAGCAGGTTCTTCTTGGGCAACGGTAGCATGGACATCCTCCGTGGTTGGCTTGTCATCAGCTATGGCGAGGCCGTCATCCGTGGCGGGTATCTCTTCTGCAGTTTCGGGTGCATGGATAACAACTGCCTCGACAATAGGTTCAACTTCAGCTTCAGATGAATCGACAACATCGGCCTTATCGTCTTCCTCTTGCGAGGGGCTAGATTGTTCCTCGACGACTACGGGCGCAATCTTGGAGGACGGATCTGCCTCGAGTTTAGGCTCGGCTTCCGGGGCGGATTTTTCGTCTTGAGAGGTGATAGGGGCTTCAGTAGTGGTATCTTCGCCAAGAGAAGGTTCCTCGGCAACTTGTATAGGGACACCAACCGAATCTGGTGCAACAGCTTCCTCCACGACAGGAGGGACTTCGGCGGCAGGCGCGTCGGCATCGATACTAGCGGCTTGGACTGCTTCTTGAACGACGACGTCGGGCTCTTCGACGATAGTTGAAGAAGCCTCAGGTTCAGGGTTCGGGGTTGCAGTCCCCTCAGATGCTAGATCCTGTTCAGCCACAATAACCGGCGTTGAAGAAGATTCTTCTGATGCCGCGGTATCTTCAGCGTCCGATTCTTCCAATTGGCGGTTATCGACAAGTGCGGGTGTGGGTGCAACAACCTCGACATCGATAGGAGTTTCGCCTACTGCAAGCGAACTAGCAGTTGCCGCCTCAATAACTGTAACTTGATAAGTACAAATAACAATCCAAGAAAACTGGACCACTCACCAGGAGTTGCCTCCTCGACTT